AAGCTACCTCCAGAAAGGAAAGGATGGAGGAGAATGTACGTGTCAGGGGAAGAGGAGTGAGAGGAGGAAGTTCGGTGTTGTCCTATCAATTCAGCTTTCAGAAACCCGCCCGAGGACACCCGAGGCACGTGAGGGTCCCAGGACTGCCCTGAAGGCCAGTCCCCATACAGGCAGGCTGTGAAGGGCCAGGGAATGACTCGAGACGATGTGGTCACACTGGGTTTCAACAGAACAAGGCCAATTCTAAACACACCCCTATTTCTTAGAATGCAGCAGTTTTTAAGGAACACAAAAAAACATGCTAAATACCTGCCAAGAAAGCATAAATACTTTTATAATCATCATGTAGCTACCGCTTACTATTTACCATGTGCCAAACACTGTGCTTAAGAGCCTTTCTCACATATTATCGCATTTAATCCTCAAAACAACCCTGAGATAGGTCCTCCTATTAAATCCGTTTTCCAAGTGAGAAAACTGGTCAACATTTCACAGACACTTCAAGGTGAGGTCAGGGCTGATCCAGGGCCAGGTGAGGCTTGAGCTCTAACTGCTACAGAGAGAAAGCTCTGAACAGCCAGGGCATTTGTGCATGAGCGTTTTGGAAGTGTCGGCTGGGTGCCACCACGAGGTGAGGCCGTAAGAGCAAATCCTGCCATCTGGATTAGCTTAATAGCTTTTTTTTTTTAAAAGTAACTCAGATTTTGAGATTTTTCAGTGAGGTATATTCTTTTACACCCAACTTCTAAAATCAAAACAGTAAGATTTTGATGACTTGTGTTATACTATGAACAGTGACAGCTATACAAGCCTGTGGCCTTTAAGATTAGGCATAGTAAAGGAACATATTGTTCTTGTTCAGTCACTTAGTCGTGTCTGAGTCTTTGCGGCCCCATGGACTGCAGCATGCTAGGCTTCCCTGTCCTTCACTGTCTCCTGGAGTTTGCTCAAACTCATGTCCATTGAGTTGATGATGCCATTCAACCATCTCATCCTCTGCCACCCCCTTTCTCCTCCTGCCTTCTATCTTTCCCAGCATCAGGGTCTTTTCCAATGAGTCAGCTCTTCGCATCAGGTGGCCAAAGTATTGGAGCTTCAGCATCAGTCCTCCCACTGAGGATTGACTGGTTTGATCTCCTAATATATGAGAGCTTGTAATTTTTCACCCAGTTACACTTTACAAGAAAAATGTCCTTTTTGCTAAAATGCAAGTTGTGAGAACAAACACAGTTTAAGAGTTTATTTGAGTTATATTATATAGTTATATTATATAGTTATCTGAGTATATTTCTAGAGAATCCTTTGGTTGCTCTGGCACCAGCCTCCTCTCTCACCATTGGTTTCAATGTTGAATAGATGCCGGGTTGAGAGAGGGCGTGTAGGGAGAGGCGAGACTGATGCTCACAGCTGCAGCAAGTCCTTAGCTGAGGCTGGGGCCTGACCAGATTCCCTTACAGACTGGCCAAGAGGGCAGAAAGCCAGTGGTCTGCTCCAGACACTCGGGGGCAACTCTGCGCCACAGACTCAAGGGCCACGTCTGCCACTGACGCTGGCTTGGACTGCCTGGTGGGGCCCTGCTATCAGAGGAGAGAGAGCCCACTGGAAATCTAACAGATGTGGCCCCCGCCCACCACGAGGGGGCTGGCTGGCCAGAACACGTTCGGTTCATCTTTCCCTTGATTTCTTCTCAGAGGGGCGCTGCTGGGCTGGGCAGTGAAGAGAAACCCCTTTTCGTAGCCTTAGATCAGTGGTCCCTAGAGAGGCAGGACCTAACTGTACAGGAATCTTTGCCTTCAGTCAATTTTTAGTAATTTCAGGCATTCTGAGATGACATGTGTGCATGGGGAAGATGAGTGAAAGAAATGAGGAGCAAGCTTTTAGAAAATCAAGACTTCTGGGAGACAGGTGACCAATAGACCAGTATCTTGGGTTGGTACTCCCTTCTCCCCAGCCCTTCTTCCTAGAGGCCTGATAACGGAGAGAAAGAGAAACGTCAAGAATAACTCATTGGAGTGTATGAATAATACCTAAAATATGTACTCATCTCTGTGCCAAAATGAACACTCTTGCCATTTATGTGAAATAGCAAACAAGAGCACCAAAAAACTTGGTGGACTAATACACATTCTTAGAGACTAAAGTTCACTGGAATAACACCTTATTAAAAACTACAGGTAAACAGTCTTTGAGACCGAAGGATATCTATAATCTGCAAAGTTATTGCAAAAGACTGATTGTGATGGTACGTCCCAAGATGTCCCATCCTACTATAAATGGCTATCCCTTGGCTGAAAGGCACTGTTTCTCAGGATGAATAACATTCCTAGGGATGACAAACCAGAAGTCTTATCTGCATACCAGCATATTGATAAAACTCATAATAAAGTCATGAAATCACAAGAGATGAGCAAATACACCATAGTCACGGCAAACTGAGCAGAAATAACTGCTCTCTGGTCAACCAGAGCTCTTCAACAGGATTAATAATTTGTGTAAATTGGCTTCCCTTCATCTACATGTTTATTTTGACTTTTCAAAAAGCTTTGGTAGCAGTTTGGTAACACTACTCAGCAAAACTTTTAAGACACACACACACACACACACACACTCGTGCACCCCTGAGGCACTGTGTGCCTCGGGGAATAAAGTAGGGACTTTCCTCTGAGAAGAAAAAGATGATCCAGTATGGAAACCTAGCTTACTGAACATTTTTGGGAGGTGAAAGGCCAAGCCAAAGGGGATGAATGTCAGATTTGAGGAGTCAATCAAAAGGAGGACAATGAGTTTTACTCATTGTGAAGCAAAACTCTAAGATCAGATCATATTTTCCAATCTCTTGATCTTTAAGAAGAGGAATGCCAACATCCAGAGAACTGGGTGCATTTATCTCGAGTGAAAGTGCAAGTCAGTAGCAAAGCTGAAAATCAGAATCCTGCCCTCCCAAATTCCCTGAGTGCCTTAGTGCCTGGGTCTCTCATGGTACGCCTGGTCCCGGCGGAGAAAGAGATGGGGGTCCTGAGATTGTCATCAGTATACCCCGCACATGAAAGCAGCAGGAGTGTGGCGCAGGTCCTCTGTCATTCCCCGGGGCCCACTACCCTCTCCCCAACATGCACACATGGGGCCCCCTAAGGTCTGAGCAAGGAAAACACCTTATCAGCTGGGTTTGGGAAAGAACTGTTGTTGGACCTGTGTGTTTGGAAGCCAGCCCTGCTGAGCTCAAGAGCTCGCCATAAAGCAGGGGAGAGCTGCTTCATTCGGGGTCTGCTCCTTCACAGGCCTTGTGCCAGGCTCAGAGCTTATCTTCACCATCCACAGCCCGGCTCACAGCTGCAGGATGTGCCCTTCAATGACAGGTGGGGGTGGCCTGCTGTCTCTCCCGCCAGAGTTCAGATTAAGAAATACTTTGGTTGCAATTGTTTAAGAAGTGGATTTTCCCCTTGAGAATCAAAGCAAGAGTCTATCTCTCTGCTTCCTGAGGATGTCTTCAAACTTTGCTGTGTGGGGGTGTGTGTGTGTCTGCCACCCAGAACAAGTCCCTTGAGTGTGGACAGACTGATAACCCTCTTGGTTCCAGATCCACTGTTTAACCCCACATGGTACATACAGTCTGTGAAAATGCTGGTGGAAGTCTTCTTGGCGCTCACAGCCTCCCCTCTGGGATCTCTGTAAGGCTCTCATACTTGTCTTTCCACCCACTTCTAACAAGCTCATTAGTGAGAAACTCCCAGAAAGTGGGAGAGTTAGTTTGTAATTTCTGATCCGAGTGCACTGAACATTCTGTCAGGCTCCAGGAGACAGTCAGTTTAAACCAGAACGGTTACTAAACACAGCAGCGGGATACTCCCTCCCTCCCGGCCCGCGTCTTCCCCGCCCAAAGCTGAAGTCATCCCGCGGTGGGGATGGGGCGGTGGGGGCGGGGTGGGCGGCAGCGCCCGGCTCAGTGCCTGGGAACGGCGGCTCCTCGCTTACAGTGGTCCCAGGACACAGCCCACTGCAGGGGGCCTCCTCACCGCAATTCCTCCCTGGACGCCCGAGGGCGGAAAGCATGCTTTTAACTTAGTGGGGAAAGCAAAAAGTAGGAGCTCATTTGTTTGCCGAGCTCACTGCCTTCATGCCCGCAGAATGGCTGATCGGGAAAGCCAAGCCCCGTGGCAGCTTTCTCAAACAAAACCCAGCAACTTAGAACCCGGGGCTACAGGCTAAGAAGATGAGCAGGGGAGAGCAGGGAACAGCCTTGCCTTTGCTTCAGGGGAGTAGGGAAAAAGGAGCGATGAGGGCTGCGCGTGGCTGCTGCCCAGCCCGGGAGAGAAGAGCACTCCTAAAGACGCACACACGCAGCGAAGGAGTGAGCCATGGGCGTGCCGCGCACATGCAGTGGCACGCACGTGGCCCCGGGCCCCCTCCCCTCCGCGCACGCTTACCTGCGATGCCTTGCAGCAGCCCACAGACGTTGAAGATGCTTTTCTTCATGATGCTCTGCACACACATGGTGAAGACAGACACCAGGGCCACAGTGCACAGAATGAAGATGCCCACGGCTAAGAAGATAGCGGTGGCCTGCCAGAAGCCGCTGGCTATCTCGCCGAAGCTCTCAGCGTAGGGCCCGCACAGCGTCTCGCGCGGGAGGTGCTGCACGCCGGGGTTCCGGATGCAGCGGGCGTAGATGCCCAGCGTGGGGTGGTAGGGCTCCGGGGGGCCCGCGCCCTGCTCGCCCGGCTCGGCGCTGCCGCGGGGCTTGGCTTTCCCGATCAGCCAGTCTGCGCTCATGAAGGCGATGAGCTCGGCGAACGCCACCACAATACTCAGGAGGGTCCAGAGCATCGAGCGACAGGTAACAATGACATGACACATATTGATGCTCAGGCGGAGGGAGTCGGGAGTCCAAGGGGTGAGCAAGCTCCGCGAGCCGGGCGGGGCAGCGGGAAAGGCGCGGGAAGGCGGCTCAGGCGGGGGCTCCCTCGTCCCTGCGTCGTGGGGCAGCGCGCTCCGGGGCTGTCATGCTGCCATGTCGCAGCTCCGCGGCCGCAGCCTCACCTGCGGAGAGAGGAGAGGAGGGTGAGCGGCGCCAGCCCCGCCCCGATCTGGCCGCCCTCCCGCCCGCCCGCCCACTGGCGGGTCGGGACCCCAGTGCGCGCCCGCGCCCTGGCGAGCCCCGCGCCGCGCCAACACGCCGCCCCCCTCCGCGAGCTGGCCGGTTTCTTTGTTTCCAGGGCGCTCCCAGAAGCGTCTGTGGTGCCCCTTATCTCTAAGCTGCACTGCTCACCCCCCGGGGCATCCTGCGCGCCGGGCTCCTGCGCGCCGGGCTCCTGCGCGCCGGGCTCCTGCGCGCCGGGCTCCGGCCCGGCTGTGCGCTCTTGGGACGCCGCTCCTGCTCTGTTACATCTTACTAGAAAAAGTCCAGCTGCACAGGCTGCATTCGGACAGATCAAGACAGGCTGCTAGGAAACTGTGTCCACGGACGAGCCGCGATCTACAAGTTTGCAGGACTTGGTACCAGATGAGCTAAATCTGCCAAATTTGTACCAAGATTTTGCTTTTTAGCAGCTTTCGCAACTCCCGATTTTACTGTCTGGGAATCAATGTACTAGCAGAGACACAAGAGAAAGTGTTTGCTTCAGAGGTAATGGAGAATTTAAAAGGAAAATAATGCCATGATAAATAATAAAACTTTGCCACCCAAACTTATTTTTCATGCATTTCTCACTGGGTGATTTTTAGACAAAATAAGCTACAGAAGTTAAAATGCGAAGAAGAAGAAGAAAAAAAAACCCTCCAAGAACTGTTGACTTACTTGTGGGAATTATTCAAAACAGGGGCACTAATGACCATTGACTAAGTAGGGGACGTGCTGACAACAGATCCCTGCCAGAGCAGAACGCATCCCTTGAACTGTCCCAATCCATCACAGGGCCTCTGCCTGAGCTTCGGTTCACACCAGGTCTGAAACTCAACACGCCCATTGTTTCTGGTCTCACAAGGCCTCATTCTGTTCCCAAGGACAAACGGCTGGCTTCATTACCAGAGGGCCCTGCTCTAACGGCTCAAACCTCCTTCAGGGAGGCCTGAACCCTGAAATGGGCCACAGGGCTCCTCACAGCCCCGTCTTCCTGCCTCTCCCCGTGCCCTCCCTCCCCTGAGGTCAGGAAAATCCCACAGCTCGCAATGGACATCGGGGCGCATGGCTCTGTTCTGAGTGATTACTTATTAACCCAGGTCACATCAACTCCCTAAGAACTGCAGAGAGCCTGGTGGCATGTGGGCCATGGCTGAGCAGGGAGTTATGCGGGAGGGAGGAAGTGGGAGAAGGGAGTGGGTGTCAAAGCTTCAGCACCATGCTGGCTCACAGTCTAGTAAGCGGTGATGACTTATAAAACAGTGGATTTAACACTTACACAAGATGATGTTTTGAGAAATTAGCTAGTGCAAAGCTAGGAACAGAGGAACTTAATTGGCGCATATACGCATATATGTGTGTGTGTGTGTGTGTGCGCGCGCGCGCGCAGCACTGGGGAAGGGAGAGATGGTGTGTTGCACCGTAAAGGTTCCTGGATACATGCATCTAGCTTCTCGGAGCCTTAGCTGTCAGCTCCCGCATGGACCACGTGGAGAAAGAGAGGGGCCCCTGCCTCACGACACTTGTGAGAATTAAGCAAGAAGCCGTGAAAGCGCCTGGCACGGTAAGTGCTCAATAAACACCAACTCCTTTGCCTCAACAGTTTTCCCCCAGCAGGGCTGAGACTGGTCAGACAACGGTTTAGCCAGTGAAAGTGCTCGGTGGTTAACGGAAGCTTGGCCCTTACACATAGAGGAGGATCAAGCCCAGGCTATTTAGAGATGGATGAGGTCACTCCTGGTGTCCAAGCTTCCCTGGTGGGCTTTGAGGGTAAGGTCCTGGGTCTTACTTCCTGTTTCCCTACTGCCTAACACAGCTGACAAACTCAGCTGGGGAAAATAAATTAGCCTGAGTCCAGAAGGATAATCGATTCTCTCTCAGTCATTCTTACCCTCTCACCCCGTATTACCAAATAGAAATGGCTTTTGAGTAAGAAGTTACCAATGCAAAAGAGCTCTGGAGGAGGCCTGTGTATAATGAAAGTGATCATTTCAAAACAGAACAAGAAAACAAGCTAGGATGACTCCCACGAGAAACCCCCGCTTCATCCAAACAGTTCCCACCTACCAGGCTTACAAATACTTCTAATTCACAGGTGGAGAGTCTGCTTGTTAGAAAAAGAAGCTCTATCCAAGCTTCCCATTTGGTTCTCTGGTCTGCACAGTCATGTCCAACCCTTTTGCGACCCCATGGACTGTAGCCCCCTGTGGGATTCTCCAGGCAAGGATACTGGAGGGGTTGCCATGCTCTCCTCCAGAGATCCTCCAGGGATCCAACCCACATCTCTTGTGTCTCCTGCATCGGCAGGCGGGTTCTCTACCACTAGAGCCACCTGGGAAGCCCCCCATTTGATTAGAAAGCCAGTCCACCGGAGCCCCAGTTGCTGTCAATCCCTGCCCCTCTACTCTTCAGCGGCACTGTTTCAATGCGAATATAAAACCTTTACATATTTGTCCTCTTGCAGAACCTCAGACTCTGCTACAGCCTCTCAAGTGACTGAGATCTTAATGAAGACGCCAAATGTACAATGTCCTGCTCAGCAAGCTCAGCTTCGAGCCAGGGGTGGGATTAGGCTGCAACTTCTAAAGAGAAAGGATGTGAAACTTCAGAAGGGAAGAAGGCACATTTAGACTTAGCACGGTTCTTAGCAATGGTTCTTGCCGAATTTAAGGCAGAATTATTCAAGGACCCCTGTGTGTAAAATCAGAAAATTCAGTTCCCTGTCCATCTGTGCTAAAACAAGTCCCCCCTCCACTATACCAGATCATTGCAGCCACACCAGAGTGGCTGGAATGAGACGTTCACTTTTCTGTTTGGAAAAGGGAGATTAGATGCTTTGGTCTCCTCAGCAAGTCTGCTAATGACTACTTTGGAAGAATAGCCGTGATATGCAAGGCTGACAAAAACTGGCTTTCCTGAGGATCCAAGAAAAGTCTTTGGGTCAGGGAAAGACAGCAAGGGGCTTCTACAGCACTCTGCACTCCGTAAAATGCCCCAGCGGGGAAAGCGTGCCCTCAGATAAGAGCCACTTCAAAGGGGAACAAGATCCAGGGTACAGATCTCGTTAACCCGGGATTCGGCACAGAGCTCCTTCGCAGCCCTCCCTGCTGTTCACTGCGATTCCCACTCCTCCAAAGATCACAGAACGAGACCAGACCCTTGCTGAGCTTCCATGTAAACATCTTCTCTCTACTGGCCACTAAACACATGTCCCCTCCAGGATGCTTGGCTTCACTACCACATCCCTGGTGTTTGTGGATAATGTGGACAGCCCTCTGACTTTCAGAAAATTATGCTAGTCCACAGAGGAAAGCTTCGTAGCAAGGGATAAACAAACAAACAAAAAAAACAGACAGAAAAACCAACCCTAAACAAATGAGACTTTGGCAGAAACCTAGAGTAACATACCGCAGTCAGAATACAGAACCAAGAGAAGTGCCGAGTGGGTGGTCCACGGGCGTCAGCACACCTCTCCACAGATCCCTACTATTTAAAAGAAGGGGGTGGTGGTAGCAGAGCTGAACGGGGTCCTTTCCTTGGCAGCTTCTTGCTGTCAGTGAGAAGCGACGAGAGTGCATTCGGGCGGAACTGCCCTAAGAGATCACAGTCTGGAAGCTTGCGAGCAAAGCCACAGCCTCTGGAAAGGCGGGGCAGGCCGAGTGGCCTTGCGTCAGTGCTGCCTCAACGGGGCGCTGGGAGCGGAGCTGCTTGGCATGCCCACCGCTCCACCCTCACGCCAGCAGCGCTGCCCGAGAAGGCGGCCATGCAAACCACGGTTTGGAGAACAGCACGGCCTCACTTACCTGGGTGCCGTTTTCAACTTCATTAAGACAACCTGCCAGCACAGACAGAAGGTGAAGAAAATGGACAGTGAGCACTGGGGACTGAATGCTGGTTTGCACGCTGCCCTGTCGGTTCCATCCACAGCGCACACACTCACACACAAACAGTTTTTCCCTGGACCGTTTGAAAATGAGTTACAGATGTCTTGACGCTTCACCCCTAAACACTTCTGCCTATACCTCCTAAAAACGAGGACATTTTCCTACATAACCACAATAAAATTCACACACCCAAGAAAACTGACAATAATTTCCTTATATCCAAAAGCCTGGTCCACACTCAAATTTCCCTACCCTGCCCCAATTTTTATAGCTGTTTTCATAAAACCATGACTCAATAGAGGCTCATGCATTGCTTTTAATTATGTCTTTAATCTTTTTTAGTCAAAAAATAGTCAGTCCTTCCATCTCTAACCTACCCTGTCCTGCCTTTATTTTTTCCCATTGACACTGACTTATTTGAAGATACCAGGCCAGTTGTCTTTCAGGATACCCAGCAATCTGATTTGTCTATTTCCTCATGATGCCATTTAAACTTGTCCTCTATCCTCTATCATAGAGAAAATGGAAGTTAAATCTAAAGGCTCGTTTGGATTCAGTTTAAACATTTTTGGTAAGAATCCTTCATAGCTGATGCTGTGTAATTCCCACTGGATCACAATTGGGAGGAATATGACTCAGGCTACACCTCAGAATCAGAGGAACTTGACACATACATCTATGTATACACATGTGTAAGTGTTATACGTGTGTGTACAGAAAGAGACAAAAACAGAACAGTCTGTATGGTCCTCTCCAGTCCTAATAAAATCCTATTTTGGTGAGGAAGTGAGCAGAAAGCTGCTCTGGGCAGGACTCTCCTTTGCTGTTGTTTATGGCTGTGCTGGGTCTCCGACGCTGCTTTCTCTAGCTGCGGTGGGCGGGCTTCTCATCGCAGTGGTTCCTCTTGTTGCAGAGCGCAGGCTCTAGGGCCCAGCTTCAGCAGCTGTGGTGCGTGGGCTTACTGCTCTGAGGCGGGTGGAATCTTCCTGGACCAGGGGTTGAGCTGTGGCCCCTGGGCTGGCAGGTGGCTTCTTAATCCCCTGCCCGCCAAGGAAGTC